AGAGTCGGACATGACTGACAAAGAAACCTTTACTTTTTTTTCTTCCAATGGCCCTCTATCCCAATCAGATCTGGAGTTATAGTGACATAAGTGCAAGACTTTCAATAACCCTTTCCATCCCTGAACTTTGCCACCTGCAGTTCAACTGTTGGGATGAAACACCAACATTTGTAATTCTTAGTCACAAGATGAAAAGCAAGCTTTTCTCCATCTGTTTAAGGCACTCATTTGCTTAATCACATCTGCTGCTTCTGACTGCTACCCTTTTTCAATGTTTTCATATTGCAACTGTTTCAAGATTGTTTTTGTCAGATTTTTGGCAAAAGAAAGGATGGCTATCTTTGAGATAAATAAAATATGAAGGCTGCTACATTTATCACTATCTGCCCAGGAGGCATCATGCCTATCATTACTAACTGTTGGAAAATGTAAACAAAGGGCTGTTGTTATTATATTTTTATCTTGCCTTTTCGTAGATAACTCAAGGCAGAGAATATATCTAATTCCCCCACCTACCTATTTTCCCCACAGAAATAACCCTGTAAGAGAAAGCAAATGGCCCAACATCGCCCAGCCAACTTTGATTTAAGACAGGCCAACAATTCATAATCTCCTGGTTAGCTACTACGTCAAACTTGCTATTCCACTAGTGCTATATTTGGAGACTTTCTAGAACAGAGGTGTCAAACTGCCGGCCTGTGGGCCAGATGCGTCACGCTGAAACTGCGCCCACCCCATTGCTGGCAATGGGGAAAAAGTCGCGATACGTCACGACACATCACGTGACATTGCGAGTTTAATGCCCCTGTTCTAGAAGCTTCTGAGGTCTATTGTGTGAGATCCAGAAAGGCAAACTTCAGAACCAAAAGCATCAGGTGTCTGTCAGAGACTAGCAGTAGCCAATTGGACTGATATTGTAAGACTAGCACTCCACAACTTGTTATCTTGGTCCCTTATTAAGCATCTGCGGCCATTCTATGTCCTGAAGTCTTTGTTTCACAACCTTTCTGAGTTGCCGGGATCCTGGCAATCGCAGAGTATCTCAGGAAATGCCATAAAGACCCATCATATTGCTAATGGCTGGACATCTTTGGGTCAGTCATTCTCTCTCTTGGGCCAACCCAATAACACTGAGAGAAAAATAGGAAGAAGGAAGCAAGACACAAATTTAACAACAAAGAACAAATGCCCATCTTCCATGAAGAACAGAAACCCTCTTTTCTTATCAGGGCAACCTGACTGGTTGAATTAACCATTAATTTCAATAATAACTAAATGTAAAAGTCCAGATTTGGTTCTCTATTTATGCTTCCAACTAGAGTGTTAAAATTACATTAGAAGCACATTTGGGGACAATTTAGCTCACAAGGGTTGAGTGCACCTGCCCTGCTGAAACTTGTATTCTTTTAACATAACCACATGATTGTTGTGACTTTATATTTTTCCTGCTAAAATGCCACAATTATTTATCTCACAATAATACAGTAAGCAGCAGAGGAATGGACAAATTATACTATTTCATTATTCTTTCTCTAAAGCTAAAATGTTTGGGCTGATAATTACATAGGAAAGGTATTGAAACAATAGCAAAATTTGGAGTAGGAGCCTAAGAATTTCATTCAACAGAATGAGCACACTAAGCCAGGGGTCTTCAAACTTGGCCTTTTTATGACTTGTGGACTTCAACTCCCAGAATTCTTCAGCCAGGAATAGTTGTCTTAAAAATCTCCAGTGTTGGAGATTGCACAACTTCTGGGGGCAAGTTGTTCCACTGATTGTTTAATTAATTAATTAATTTAATTAACTCAGGAAATTTCTCCTTAGTTCTAGGTTGTTCTCTCCTTGATTAGTTTCCATCCATTGCTTCTTGTCCTGCCTCCAGGTTCTTTGGAGAATAGGTTGACCCCCTCTTCTTTGTGGCAGCCCTTTAGATATTGGAACACTGCTATTCTATCACCCGTAGTCCTTCTTTTCACTAGACTAGACAAACCCAATTCCTGCAACCGTTCTTCATATGTATTAGCCTCCAGTCGCCTAATCATCTTTGTTGCTCTTTTCTGCAGTCTTTCTAGTCTCAACATCTTTTTTTATACTGTGGTGACCAAAACTGGATGCAGTATTCCAAGGCATTATAAAGTGGCATTAACACGTAATCTTGATTCTGTTCCCTCTGTTAATGCCGCTCAGGACTGTGTTGGCTTTTTTGGCAGATGCTGCACACTGTCCACTAGGGCTCCAAGATTCCTCTTGCAGTTACTGCTATTGAGCCAGATACCATCTATTCTAGGGCTTTTTTTATATCTAAATGTAGAACCTTACTTTTCTCACCATTGAATTTCATTTTGTTAGATAGCGCCCAATGTTCATGTCTGAAATTGACAACAGAAGAAATTTAGAGTATTTTAGGAGTATTTTTTCACTTGTCCATCAGCAAAAGGAAGCAATCTCATAGGATGGCCTTGGAAGCAGAACCTTTTAACCAGGGATGAAGCTATTTCATTGATGAAACCTGTCTGCCTTATTTACCAGAATTTCAACAAACAGAATTTCAATAAATCTTAAGATGATACTCCAATTTTAAAGGCAAATTATCTGAGAAGGGTTTTTTTTTCAGGAAAACAAACGTAGTGTTCCACCACAACTAAAAACAACAAAGATTAAAATAAGGATGGTGATCATGATGATGGCCATGATCCAAACAGTAAATCAGGTTTCTAAAAACTATAGATGCATGTTCCAGAAAACAAATGCAGTTATTTGTCAGTGATATTATTCAGTTCTTTTGTAAGGCTTGACCAAGCAATCAATTAAAATGCCAGCGGAAGACTAATATGGAAACTGTCCATCAGTTCAGAAAACTCATGTCTCCTGATGCAGAGCAACTATGGTCAAGAGAAACAGTTTTGTAGTTCCTAGTTAGGAGGGGAAAGACACAAGCATCTTCTTCATAGGCTGGCAGAATGCTGCTACAACTGGTGAATGAAGCAATGGTCCCCATCAAAGAATCTTGAATTCACAGCTCCTAGTTGGAAGCTGTTGAAATGAATGCTCTAAGATGCAGATAGCTTCACTGCTAAGGCAATCTTTGTAGAGCAAGAATAGGCAACGTTTTAATGGTTTGGACTTATATTTAATAGTGGAGAGGGACCTGAAGACTGCACATGCAATGACATAAAAAAGAATGAAGCATCATCCATGTCAACAAAGCTAGGATCTTCCACCACTATGTGCTTTATTATTTTTAATGATATAAGCCAGTTACAGAACTTACAATTTTTGTGTGTTCCCTGCCCCAACATGACTATCAATTCAGGTTTGTGGGAGCTGTAAAAAAGAGGGGTGGGGGCCTGAGGTAGAATAGCAGTGTGAGTTGTAATTGCAGCTTCATTTCATATTGCATTCAGTTTCTTCAGTAAGATAGACATGTTGCAGTTGTCAATAGTTGTATGTTATCAGAAAACAGCTCTATTTTTTATCAGGAAGATTGCCTAGAAACTGCAACCTAATGTTCAGTTTTTTATCCAATGGTTTAAAACGGAATTCTTCTTATTTCCAAAACTTTGCTTTATTGGAATTTAAAGATTTTTTTATAGAGATTCCAGTGGCCTCTTCTTCCTCTTCAAGAAAATCAAGCTTCAGACACAAGAAATTAGCCATTTCCTGCAGTCTACAATAACAGTCTTTTCCAGCATAGATCAATGAACTGTTTTAGAGACTAATCTCTTAACAGAAACTGACTTTTATTTGCAAGGATATTTTTTTTCTTGCCTGAAAGCCCGTTGTTTAAAGTGGCAGGGTCAAGGTTAATTAAAACCACATTCATATTTTCTATTCTGCCATCAAAAGCCTTTGTAATTTTAAAGAGGCTTCACCCCAACATTTTCTGAATTCCTGTTCACCTTCAAACATTGGCATTTCTGATTTTAATTTTTAAAGAACTGGAAAAAACCTGCAAACATAAAACTGCCATTAAGGGAATTTGGGGAAGCAAAAGTGGAGATCTTAAGTTTCTGCAAGAAACTTAGGGCACCCATTTAGCTTCTTAAAAACTCCTCCTCCCAAAACAGGCCCCAGGTTTTGTTTCACATCACTCAGATGCTATCACAATTCTGCCACACCTTTCACAGAGATGAAAGAATTTTTTTTTAAAAATGTCCAGTTCCCAGCTCCAAGAAAACTCATTTATGTTCCACTTAAAAAGTTTTGTTGACTCCGTTATGTCTTAGGTTGTAATGACTCATTTATTTTTCTGCAGCCTGTTCTGAAGCTGTATTTTTACCAGACTGCAATAGCTTCATGTTTTCTTGTATTGTGGGACAGGATGTTTCTTTTATTATCAGTATTGCCATATTTTCTTGGGGGAAAAAATAAAGAACAAACCTAAAAACGGGGCAAATGTAAAACAGGTTCATGAGGATTTTAAAAAAATGTTTATACCTTGGCTTTACCAAAGAAAATTCAAGAGGAAAACCAAGGAAGTAATGAAATAAATCTAAAGTATTGCTTTCTGAAATAAAGGACAGTCCTTTATAATAGAGGGCATATGGTTACTATAATTGTCAGTTGCTTTTATTATTACTTATGTTGGAAACCTCACTGAGGGTTCCTGCCATGAAAAGGCAGTCTAAAGATTCCTCTAAAATAGTTAGCAATGTAAAATTAGCTGCAGCAGCTAGAACAGAAAGGAATAAGAATGCAGAATATTTGCTATGAAGAATGGTTCTAGATTCTAGCTCAGAGGTGGGGAACTATAGCCTCTTTGTGACTTGTAGGCTTCAACTTCCAGAATTCCTGAGCCAGCATAGCTGGTTCAGGAATTCTGGGAGTTGAAGTCCACAAATCATAAGAGGGCCATAGTTCTCCACCCCTGTTCCAGCTAATCTGCTCCTCTGAGCTTCCTTTCTGATCTGAGAAAAGCAGAAAAGGAGGCAAAACATTGGTTAAAGCAACAATATGCTTCATCCTTATTCCAAGGAAAGGAACTGATTCAGATGTCTTACTTTGCCACAATAAAATATGTCTTCACGCTTGATCTTCCCCTGTGCAATTTTCTCCCGTATGGCCTGTCCAACTTCGTGCTCATTGTAATACACAAAAGCCCCATCAATATGGCGATAACCGACATCAATGGCAGTTTTCACTGCTTCAGCACACGTGCCTTTGGGAGTCTGTAGATTAGAAATCAGAAAAAATTAGAGAAAACTTTCTACAGAGAGCCACCCACCACAGAACTGAGAGCAAAGCAATATAGATAAACATATCACACAAATAAGCCTACAATATATACTGTATCAGCCTACTATATTGTTTAATTTTCAAATCAACTTGGGTTGCTCCTTTAATTGTTTAAAAACCAATTCAAGCTACTTCCTATAAGTTTACCCCTAGCTCTGCCATCTCTCTGATAGCTTAATGTTAAAGCTGTTCAACTTTACAACCCTTTCTTTCAGAAGCACAAAGACAAATGTAGAAAAGTCCATTTACAATGCAATTCTATACAGTATCTACTCATCAATGGCTTCCACAGGGGGCAAGGGGGTCAGACAGATGAAAGCACTGGTGCAACATAATCCTCACCACTTTTCTCTTTTTGTCATGATGTCATGCACATGCCCCAGAGCAGAGCTTGTAGCACAATGCAACAAAGGCAGTAAAATCCTGCAGAGGATGCTAATACCCATTCAAAGTTAAATCCAACTGTTCTTAGCGCTGACAATATTCCAGTGTCCCAGGTTTACAACCCAAATGTATAATATACATTATTAATGGTGAACTGCAAACATTGTTTTAATTATCCCTTTTTATTTCTCAATAAGAATGTGAGATGGCAATGATAGTAAAAGACAGTGATATAAAGGGAAGCTTCAATGACTTGTTTAATATTTGTATAGTTGCAACAGAGATTCCCTGTTATATATATCTTTATTTCTGGCAGAGTCTTTTAAAACCTGCTTAATATGGAGTAACTTGGCATGTGAAATTACACTTCGTTTCAGTGCGTGAAGTAAAATTTCACTTGCTAATAATGTGTTCCAACACTTTGTCAACATAGGATATTGCCAAAAAATTTTAAAAAGCATTCTGTTCCTTGAATATTGTGTGTTCACACAATGCACTGGCTTGGGCAATTGCAAGAGAGCATCTGGTGACACAGTGAATTATCGGAAGAGGCCTTTTTTTCTTTAAGAGTTGAAGCAAGAGGAAAACCACTCTGGTTCCATTCATTAAAATTATCCTAGTGGATTGAAATTGTGTTATTGAAATCTAGCCATTTGGTTTTTGATTTGGCCAATTAAGTGGGGAGTTATACACTTGGACCATCAGCATTTTACCAAGTAATCATGCTAAGTGCATTGCTTCACTTCATTTTTTTTCTTGAAAGCATATTCTATCACTTGAATTGGGATGGGTGGAATTTAGACCATTTGATAAGGAGGTAGGGAATGTATGAGATCTAAAAGCAATTTTTATTAAAGAAATATACTCCGTTTTTTTTTCAAGGAGATCATGGTAGAATGCCTTGCTCTCTTCACCCCATCTTTTCTACTATAAGAGCATGCAAAAGGGTGTCAACAAAATACAGTCACCCAGAGCATTTTGTGGTTAAGTGGGGGTTTGAATTTGCATTTCCCTAGTTCTTTTGGGACATTTTTCACAATGCTTAGGAAAGGCATTTTGGTTTGCACATTTAGTCATTTAGCTAGGCTGCACTCTTTCCAGATGAAACTCCAACCCTTCAAAGTCTCAGAAGGAAGTGAGTGCATCCTCCCCCCAACTGAATGCCCTCCAGGCCTGTTTGAAATGCAACTCCTAGTAATTCAGCCAACACTTTGAGAATTGAACTGGATTAAACAAAATTTTGGCCATGTTGGCTGGCCGGTTCTGCGGATAGCATTCCCAGTTACAACACTGGACACTAGATTGAAAGAGGCTGTCCTAATGGCTAAAGGCAATTGCAAGGGCAGAAAAGCAATGTAAAACCTCAGAGTCTTTCCCTTCCCTGTCATTGTTGAAATAAACCTATATAGCAGGGGTAGTCAACCTTGGCTCTTTTATGACTCCTGAGCTGGCTCAGGAAATCTGGGAGTTGAAGTCCACGAGTCATAAAAGAGCCAAGGTTGACTACCCCTGCTATATAGCAACCTGGGACCTCAGAAAAATGTTGATTACACTGTTCTTCACTTTCCACTGTCCAGATTGTGGAAGAGGCCAATGTATGGCTTTAGAGTTTAGACAAAAGAGGAGAGAAGTAAATGAACAGCCTTATTCTTTAGTGTTCTTCCCCAAAACTATTTGATTGTAAACAACAACCCAATATCACTATGAATATCTACTGTGTATGTCTTTTGTGGCTAGATTGTGCTTTAAATTCCTAGGATGATCCTGAAAGTGCAGTTTTAAGCTTGATTAGGTCTTAATATCAATTTTGTTTGTAGACGTATACAGATAAAAGACTGGCATACCCCAGATAGTGTTTAGCCAAAACAAGAGAAAGAAAACAAAAACAAGAAAAACCAGAAAGGGTTTTTTTTCAGGGGTGGGGCAGAGATTTATCTTATCAGAGTTAGTATAAAATTTGCAGATTTTTCTAGGATTCTCTGCAACTTTCCAGAACAGATATATCAATTCCTATACAGAAAACTTCCTATATTCCAACATAGCCTTACTTTTGTCTACCAGCGTATTGTTGCTAGATAGGAGCAACTCTGCAGGATGGATGGAGAGACATTTAGCACATGTGTTTTAAAACCATGCTTGCAGCAAAGCCAGACTGCCTGGTCTTCCTGGACTAAAGAGATCTTTCATCTCCAGAAGCATAAGCCTTAGCATTGACCATCAAAAGTTATTAATAGCATGGAGGATTTATCAAATTACTCTGTCTTAAAGGAATTCACTGAAAGTGCTCACTGAGTGCTGGTTGCAGAATCTGTACCTGTAAATGTTTCAGTCTCTGCAAAGGGTTGGACTAGAAGACCTTCAAGTCCCTTCCAACTCTGATATTCTATATTCTATATTTTAATCTAGCTCTGGGTTTCTGGTATCATTTGCAATGTCACAAATAATGGATCAGGTCTTCCACTGTTTCACAACAACAAGTTTTATTACAAAATACTTTTTAACTTCCAGTAACCTCTTTCTACAAGGAACTCGGTCTGATTACACACTGGAGGGTTTTTTTTTTCTACTTCAAGAAAATAGTTGTACAATTACAAGTAGATCTCATTTAATGAAGCAGTCACTGGGTGAAATCAGGACTGTGCTTATGATCTTATTTTAGTGTGTCTTTGCTTTATAGACCTGTGAAAGTCTAAATATGAGGATTGCTCATAACATTACTTTTTCCTCACAGTGGCAACCGTGAATGGTCATTAAACAAGACAGTTGCTAAATGAAATGCTTCAATTTGCTGTTGCCTGCAAATAGAGAGGATATTAATATAATTTTGTATAGAAAACATTCTTTAAAACTGCAATCCTTCCACCATTTTATAAACAATTGAAATAATAGAGAAGCACATGCCTTTTTAATGACTAATTAATTATGACATAAGTTTTGCCAATGAGACATAAGTTTTGTCAGCTGAGAACATTTTTAAAAAGTGACAAAGGAGATAGGTTTTCTGTACAAAGTGCTTGCTACAATAATACAATAATGGAGGGATGAAGGGAACAAGTTGGATGCAGGTTGCTACTGAAAACAGGTGATTATCTGCTGAGACTGAAAACTTACACAGTGGACTTTTCACCTGTTATAAAATACACCAAATTAGATTATTTAAGGTTCAGCATGTGGTGACCTTAGAACAGAGGTCCCCAACCTTTTGGGCACCAGGGACCGGTTCTGTGGAGAGAGGTTTTCCACGGATCGGAGGGTCCATGGTTTTGTGTACTGCCTGCATCCCATGGATGGGGCTTTGCTTGTTTGTGTGGACCAGCTGCTGGCATGCCGCAGCCCGGTACCGGTCCACGGACCAGGGGTTGGGGGCCTCTGCCTTAGAATGCCTCTTATTCTGTATCACACTTATTTACAAGCCAAGAACTATTTATATGCTATACACCTGTCCTTAAGTTGACAGAAAATATACCTGCATCAAAAGAGGCTATCACAATTAGTCTGCTTCAAAAAAGGGGCCAGTAAGTAGAGTTGCCCTTGGCCAACTTTAGGTGATTTTCAAAACACTAAATTGATCAGACCTGGTTATAACCTAGATCAGCGGCTCCCAATCTTGTCTATACCCCACACCCCTAGAACGCTTCTGATATATTCTCGCACCCCTTACAAAAGTTCAAAATAAGAGCAATGAATATACACTATATACACTATATACACTATATACACTATAATTTTGAAAACCCAAGTTTTCGTACCCCCTGGAATATTGTCTCGCATCCCGGTTGGGAACTCCTGACCTAGTTGGAAGAGCATCACAAAATCCAGGATTGTTGTCTAGACTCGGAATTTAAAAAAGCATACTTTTTTTAACAAAGCAGTGGTCAATCACATCTGTACTGTTGCCAAGAAATCTATACATAGTAGACAGAGCAAGGTCTAATAATCTTTGAAGATGCCAAAATGATGACATGTGCATCATGATATCTTCTGAAAATGATACAATGATATCATGGCATCAGAGGCAAGCACTACAACAACACCGATTAAAAATGATTGAGGCCACGAGAAGAGCAAGAAACAGAACTTTGTATCTCCCTCGAAGCCCAAAGTGGTAAAAGAAGAGGAAGAGGAAGAGGAGGAAGAAGAGGAGGAAGAGAAGTGGAAATGGAATAGCCATTTGCACAAATGGCAGAGCCACAACAAATGCACATTCTTCCCTCCATAACCAGCAAGTGAGTTGCAACATTTTCATTGCATCAAAAGGCAGAAGAGAATCAAAGGCATCAATGAGGTTCCTCCTTAAGATTCTTATTGATCAATGGGAACTAAAGTACACATACCCACTTTCCAAGATTCTGTAACTTAACCCTTCTTTCTTTCTGTAACTTTCTGTAACTTAACCTTCCTTTACAAGCTGTCTTTGGCATCTGCCACCTATGAGTCAGGTTTGACATACAGCAGTGATGGTGAAACTTTTAGAGACCGAGTGCCCAAACTGCAACCCAAAACCCACTTATGCATCGTCGGGTGCCGGGTGGGTGTGGCCCATTGGCTG